TCGATGTCGAGCTCCTCATTGTCGCTCGGCTCCTCGTCCGTGTCGTCGCTTGGATCCTCGGAGCTCGACGCCGTCTCGCTCGTCACGCAGTTGGTCGCACAGCTGCGCTCGGAGCGCAGCTGCGCGAGACGCGCGCGATGAATTCGGCGCTGTTCGGCAGCGTGCTCCGACAGCGAAAATCTCTCGGCGTGCGTATGCGTCGCGCTCATGCCCAGGGTGCTGCCGCCCTGAAGAGGGGAAGATCGATCTCGCGTGAATTCGAGTATCGTTTGTTTGTTTTACCGGATTTTCGTGATTTGTTTATTCACACCGACGGGAACGATGCTTGAATAACAAAGGCAAATCTCGAGAGAACACGCGACGTTAATAACATACTATTGACAATAGAATATTAATTGAACGATCAAATAATAAAACCGATCAAAGAGATGAGCTGGTGCAAAAATTGTTGGAAAGGAAAGCGGGAAGGAGGGAGGGAAGAGCGATCCTTGGGACTTACCTGAGAAGGTACGCAAGTAAAGCCTTGCGCCCTGGGAAAGTAATAGACCGTCACGGCATCAAACTGGATGTTGCGTTTCTTCTTTACGGGCTCGTCGGCATTACTGCGCGACTCATCGCTCTCCATACAATCGGTCAATCTGCGCTTCAGGTTACTTTTGGCCGGTAGCGTTCGGAAGCTCGTTAGAGGCGGCTGACCCGGCGTCCCGGACGCGCCCGACGACGCCGCAAAGCTGTCCAGCTGGTTCACGCCTGAAAAGACGGGAACCGTCAGTCGTGTCACGAGATAGTAGGTTGCGTGACGTATATAATGTGTCTTAAAGTAATGACAGGTGAATAAAGAGAGAGCGTAACGTATCTTTTTATAAGTTCTAAAAGTTGAAATTTTGGAACCAACTTTCGTTAACGAAAACGTTGCAGCTTTTGCATCGATTTTATTTTTAGAGAAAGAAATTCTCGTAAATTTAGCCGAGATGTAAAAAGAAATTAAAGTACGGTCAATCATTTTAAGAGAATATTGATTCGAGGCTTCATTATTTTAAGGTCGGTGGATACATATTTTTATGAAGAAAATTTATTCTTCTTTTTATTGAAAACGCGGTGAATTTGCTTTTTATCGGTTCTGAAACACCCAGTGCATTGCATGTTGACAATCGATGCGAGGCTTATCGAGTTGCGCTCTCCTCACTCGTTCTCGGATAGCTTCGACCAACGCAACTGCGAGACTGAACTGACAAGGAGAATCCTTGCAGCGTCTAAAACTTTTCCGCTTTCGCAAAGATAAGAGCTCTCGAAGGAGTCTTTGAATTAGTTGTCTGTTTTTAAGATAAAATTTTAATCCTTGAAATTTTATACTTAATTAAAAGTTATATTAATAATAAGAAAAAAATTTTTTATTTTTTTGAATTTTTAACAATCGCTTTGATAGAAAATTAAATAATAAAACATTTTTTCCGCAAACAACAAAGGTTACATAATGAAATACAGGGCCACAACGTAAAAACTGAACATAAGGTAGAATAAAATACGATATATAGTGTCCCGTAATTAATAACGATAAAAAAGAAATGATTTTACATGAAAAAATTAATAGGAAATATAAAATACAATTTTTTCCCGACTTTATTTTCGGAAAATGGACTTTAAAAATTAAAAAAAAAGTTAGAAAACAAATCAAAAATTTTAAACAGAATATTTTATTAGCCTTTAATATTTAAAGGCTGCTTTTTTCAAAAATAAAGAATTGTATAAATAAAATTTTATTTTACATTTTTTATTTTATCTTTTATGTGGAATTAATATTTTATTAATTCTGTCACTTGGAATAAGATTTTTTATATAAAATAAAACAATATGTAGAATAGAAATTATATATATAAAATCAAATAGTTTTTAAGTAAAAAATTCATTTGTTATCTTGTCAACAACAAGTGCAAAAATTTCGATAAAGCTCACTCGAAAATATAGTAATTAAAGAATAGAAATAGCAATACTCTTATCTATTTCACGTTCTTCTTTAATCATTTCCATCAAATTAAAATAAAAAAAGACTTTAAACCTTAAAAAGATTATTGAAATAATTGGCCATCTGGGCTTCATTATTATAATTTAATTATTCTCTCGACTCTTCTATCAAAAAAACTAACTAAAAAAGTTTGATTTAATAAAATTAATAGCGAATAGAAATCTGTTCGCAGATAGAAAACAGCTAATTCTGTAATTAGAAAATTAGAATTATTCATTTCCAACAAAATTATTTATTCTAATAAAATGAAATCCTATGTATTTTAGGTAGAACTTATTTGAGTTTTACATTTAGAATAAATAATAATTTAATTTCGTGATTAGCAGTATTCAGCGTTTTTTCTACAACTACACGTAAGTTCAACTTTATCATAAATTCTACTTATTTAATTTTTTCATCAGAGGACGAATTTTCCGACTTTAATAAAAAAAAAAATTCTTTAAAATATTCATTATGTACAATAAAATCCGGAAAGAGGGATCGTTCCTTACCTTTCTCTTTATCGGAAAGGATGTCGTCCGGCAGTCTGTCGAGGAAGGATGTTTCCGAATCGCTTTCAGGAGCCGGTGCCGGTCCAGGATCGCCGACGATCTCGTTCCCCAAACCAGAGTCACTCCCGTCGGATCTGACTTCATCCCTAGCGCCGGTCGCCAGGGCCAGGCTCTCGGCGGAGTCTTCGGTGTAGGGCTCCGGCCGCTCGGCCTCCAGCCTCGTCATGATCGGCGCCATCGCTACCTCCACGCAGCACAGCTCGCCTCGCTCCGCTTCGGAGCAGGGCAGCTCAGAGGACGCGACGTCGACGTCGCGCAGCTCGCGGATGCCCGCGATGCTGAGCGACACCTCTGAACTGTCCGAGCCCGTTTCCGTCTCCGTCTCGGTGTCGACTGCCTCGGCGACGTCTGTCGGCGGCGCCTCCTGCGTCTCCTCCGGCGAGCTCGGCATCGTCTCCGTCGAATCTAATTCGTGCGATGCACGCGCGTCTTCGTCGGCGGGCGAAGAGCTCGTCAACACTACTTCCTCGTTTTCCCCCAATTTACCGATCACCGCCACCGGTGCCGCGGACTCCTTTTCGACTTTCTTCGAAATTCTCGCGTCCTCTTCGGCATCGTCCGAGTGAGCCTGCTGCCTCATCTCGATCATTCGCTCCAACACAACTGTGCAGTTTTTCAAGACCGGACTACTGTCCGGACTCTGTACGTTCTCCATCGACTCGCTTCTTTTCGATCTGGTCGTCGGCGAGCAGTTGTTGTCCCCCTGCCATCTCTGCTTCTTCGGAGTTTCCTTAATTTGCGAGTCGCATTCCTCGTCGACGGAACTTCTGCTTTCGGGAGAATTCTTTTCCGCGACACGATCGCACGCGTCCTTACCGAGCTTCTCGATTTCTTTCTTCTTCAAATCCGCCTCCTCGCAGCGGTTCAGCACCACCATCAAACGTCGACAAGAGGGACTCGACGGTGTCGGACTCGTCATCCCTTCGACGATGCTCTTCTCGGTTAGAGCGCAGGGTGCGATCTCGTCGTTCGCATCCGCGACATCGTCCGGACGCAACTCCGCCGTTTCGCCGTCGAAGCCGTTGCACCTCGAAGACGCGGAAGAAGCTGCGCCGAGAATTTCCTCTTCGCTGTCGTAATTCACCTTTCCGATCGCGCGGTCCGAAATGTCCTCGTTATTGCCGCTCGCGCACTCCGTCAAAGGACTCGCGTCGATCCTCCCGAGTGTTTCCTTCTCGACAATCGCGTCCTTAATCTCGTTTTGCGGAGATGGCGATTCTGCGTCATCGCCCGTTCCGTCGTTGTCCATTCCGAAGAGGCAGGACTCCGCGGTCAAGGACACCTCGCCCAGAGTGCGCTCCCGCTGGCTCACCAGCACCGGCGACAGTCGCCTGACGTCGTTTCGCCGCTGCGTCGCCTCCTCCTCCGAGATCTCGACGCCGATCCGCTTGATCTCCGCGCCGATCGGCAGAAAATCGCTGCCGGCCGGCCTCTTCCGGGAGACACTGGCGGTGGTTTCGGTTTCCGCATCCTCGGAATTCACTTTCGAGGGCTCTTCGGGTTCGAGAGGTTCCTCCGTCGAATCACCTTCGTCCTCCTCGCCGACCTCCTTCCCCATTTTCGGACCCATGTCAACCTCCTTCTCCGCCTCTTGCTTCAAGGCGCGAGAACAATCGCTCGATTGCTCGTCCTCGGGTCGTCCCGCGTCATCGGGTTTCTCGTCCAGTCTCTCGCACACCATCACCAGATTTTCGCACGAGTTTTGCATAACAGATCGCCGCTCGTCCTCGGCGACGTCATCTGCTGCTGGCGGCGTGGCCGCCGCCGTCGTCGACGACGTCGTTTCGCTCGGCGGTAATGCGCTTCCCGGCTCGGGCTCCACTGAGGTGGAATCCTCTTGGGCCTCAACGAGACAATCCTGACGGGCCGAAGGCGATTCCATCTCGGGTGTTTCTGCCATCTGCGAACACCAAATTGAATTCGGAAAATTAAAGGACCGTTTTTGGTTGCGGCGCGGAGAAATATCGATCGATCGCTCTTCCCGGCTTGTCGAAATCGACAGTAAAAATCGCGAAGCAAATAGCAATTGTCTATATATAAATAATGAAGGGATGATAATTAAAATATAGGAATGCCAATTATTATTCAAAAATAAAATCGCTGTTTTATTACAAGGTTTTATATCATCTTTATGCCTCGTCGAAGGAGCAAAATTGAAATTATTAAATTTTAAGAGAAAAACTTCCAAACACGAGAGGCGACAAAAATAATTCAGAGACGAATAGCATCAGATTGAGAATAGAGATCACGTAAAATGTAGATTAATTGAGTCGTTACGCGCACCGCCGGGACCGGCTTCTCCCGCGCCCGTTCCTCCGTTCAGAACGAATAAATGATTTCACCGTTATTACAATCAACTATCATTTCGCGGAAATAACATAAGCAAGTCGCGGAGAGAGGCGGAGAGAGAGAGAGAGAGAGAGAGAGAGAAAATGGAGAAATCAATAATCCGCGCACCGCTGATATCGCGCACTGCTAGAAGCGAACGAGTAAGCGAGCGCGCGAGAAACAGAGACGGAACTCATCGATGCGCCGAGGAGGAAAATCAATTTTCCAAAACCGTCCCTCCCCCCCGCCGCGAAATACAATCCTCTCCGATACATTTCTCTTATCGTATTCGAGATACTACAAAAGGGGAAGCCTACATATAATCTTGGCCGGAGATTATTGATTCAAAGCCGGCCGGTGCGGAGGAGAACACGGGAGGGGGGGGGGGTTGATGAAAGAGGAAAAGGGGGGAACACCTTCGTTCGCCTCGAGTTGTATCTCGGAACCCCACAACGGACCCTTCCGACGCGGACGAAGGAGGCACACTTTTACCTTGAAGTCGCGCGATCCCTCCGCCGTGGTCTCTCGCTGATTCTTAGATCGTGACGTCACCGCGATCGAGGGCCCCGTCCGGGGTCTCACGGGGGTCTAGGAAGCTTAGGTGGTCTCGCGACTCCGGCTGCTGCCGTCATGCCGTTCGCGGGGATCTGCGAGATGCCGGTTGACGGGCCTCATCGACGGGCCGGACGCGTCCTCGGAGAATGAGGACGATGACGGCCGGTGGCGGCTCGGGCGCGACGACATTCGCGGGAGGATCGCGGATGATCTTCCGCGGGGGGGAGGAACACGATCTCCGGAAGAGAGAGGAGTCTGCCGGCTCGCAGAAGGCTCTACGCCGGATCGCTCATGGAAAAAACAGCACCACTGAGATTCACCCGACGCACGGCGCCGGGATTCTGAGATATCCGACCGGAGGACTCGACAGATCTCTCTCGTCGTGGAGACGACGACCCGAGTCGGGAGAGAACTTGAAGAGCAGACTTGGAGAGTGAGCCGGCGCGAGGAGATGTCCGGACTGCTCTCTCGTTTGAGAAGCGAGAGTCCTCAGTCCGCCGTGCACGCGAGGAAGAGACGGTAACGAAGAGACGAGCTAGAGGAGCGACCGTCGTCGTCGTCGTCGTCGTCGTCGTCGACCGAAAGTGCCGTGAGACGTGAGACACAATGACGACGACGAAGAGCGTGGAGGGACTGGCAAGTGGTGGGTAGCGTGATGCGGAAGGACGGAGCGACTTGCGTGCGGCGCGTTCGACAGCTCGGTGCAGAGTGGAGGCGGCGTCGACGTCATCGACGGACGCCGACGTCGACGTCGACGCCGACGGCCGCGCTCTCGGGACCGCTCGGTTCGACTCGCCTCGCGTCGCCACGCCGAGGAGGCATATACACCGGGCGCAACGCGCGTTGGTGTGTCGGTGAATGCGTAATAGAGCGCGCACAGTATGTGCCGGAGGAACACAGCGGTTCTCAAAGCCCACCCGATAGATCGGATTAGTCATCGGTGCATGGACCTCTCTCTCTCTCTCTCTCTCTGACCGCTCTCTTCTTCTGTTTTCTGGCATTCTTCATTTTGCCAGATTGCGTTCGACAAAACATACATTTTTTTCTTTTTATTTTAATAACGTGCTTTTTGCTTTGACAACGGAACTTTAATTAAATTTGAATTGCACCGTGGAAATAGTAAATTTAAAAAATAGGAAGGAATGACAGAGAGCAGCACGGTTGACAAAAGAGCGCTTAAACAAAGATTTTTCTACGAGGAAAATGCGGAGTAAAGGAAATGACATTTATTATTTCGTTTTAAATGTCATTTTTGGACGTTTTAATATTTTATCTTGTGGCACGGCCAGTAAAATCGTACATATATTTTTAGTATTATGTAAAAGAAGAATAGAGTTAACTACGTTCTTTTTGATCGCGATATGTATCATTTCGAATTGACAGTTCTCCAACGATGGTGCATTCATTCGCTGAGTCTAATTATGTCAGTGATGCACGCGGTGCCTCGACGACGAGGAGCAAAGTTTACTTGTGAAGAAATCTCACAGCACATTACAATATGAAATTGACTGAACATTAATTGCAAGACTAATCTGCAAGTTTGCAGCAACAGAAATAGTTCTGTAAATTAAAAATTATATAGAATACACTACCCGACTACATTTGAAAATTAAATAATTTAAGTCGATAAATGTATAAAAATAAAAAATTTTCTAGAAAATTTTTCAGTCATGACATAAATATATTTCTAACTAAAATTTCCAACTTTCAAAGTTTTTACACAATTTTTCAAATAAAAAGAAAATAAATACAAAATTAAATTGGGCAAAACAAATATTTTGATTATACATTTAAAACGTAAAAAAATTTGAACAAACAAAATATATATATTGATACATAAATAACACAATAAATGTGAAATTAATCTGAATGAGAAAATTTAACTATATCACAAATATTTGACTTGCGGAATTTTCGAAACCTATTCAACTTCTTCTTTTGATCTTTGAAACGATCCAACGGAAAAATCCGAGACAAAGGAAGGCGCGACATATGTACTGAGCATGCACAATAATGATGCACACAATAATAACAAAATCCCTGACGTAAGCGGGACATAATGCGCGATGACGCAAAACCGTATACGCGAAGAGAGCGATACCGTCTTCGTCGATACTTCACACATGTGATATCGTTTGCCTCGACGGATCCCAAGGCTCCATTCTCTCCGATAAACGCTTATCAATCGCACCAAACATCGAGATACTGACTCTGAAGAACCATTCGTCGTTTCTCCTGCTCTTCGCCGAGAAACTTTGAAATGATTCGGACAACAATTGATCTAGCTCGAATCGCGATCATTTAGCGTACTCTTTAGCGTATTGAAATAGCTAGGTTTTCAGCAGAAATACCGAAGAAAATAAATATTAACTACCGAGGGAAAAATATAGGAAAAAGCGTATGATATTTGGAAAATAGAACTCATGTTCATGAAATCGAAAATTGAAATTAAAATTGACGTAAAATAAAGATTGAAATTAAGCGAGGCTTTGTTGTTTCGGGGCATGTGGACGCAATAATATTACTGCACTACGGCTTTGAAAATACTTGTGGATACGAAGTCTGCGGAGATAGCGTTGGTACCGGAATTGGCGCGGTATTGTCGAGCGTACCTCTCTCTTTCGCTCTTTCTCTCCGCCTGCCTCGCTTTCTGCCTTTCTCTCCTGTCTCTTTCTCTCTCTTCCTCTCTAATCTATATTTTTTCCTTTCTGTCCGACGCACAGTCGCACACGTATACACACACACACACATGCGCAGTGACGTACACATTCGCGCGGCTCTCTCACGAACGGTTCAACGAACGAGAGAGCGCAGCGCTTGCGCGCGGCGGCGAGCGCCGTAATTGTCGCTACGCTCCGCGAGACTAGAAGGCGAGCGGATTGTCTTCACTTGGAATTTTCGCAAGCCGAAGAGCCGGGGTCTTCGGAGGATTCGGCAGCCCCCCGGGTGTTTTTCGGCTCTCTTGTGAAGATAGCGAATTTTAGCCGCGGCAAACAGCGGAAAATTTGCAGGATTATTGATCGGCGCTTTCGCGAGTATTGATCCGCTGTTAGCGCAAACTTGCTGCGATGCTAAATGTATGCGGCCGTTTAATGTTGCATTCACTCTATCTGCCGATGTTAAATTTGTTTTAACGTTGAAATATGCATTTTTTATTTAAAAAACTGTTTGCCGACGCGGAAACACTCGACAATCGGTCGAACGAATTCTGCAGATTATTTTGTTTTTAAATTCGTTTTTGAATATAGTGTTGATACCTTTTTTAAATTATAAAAAATATCTAGGAACACAAAAAAATAGGAGGAAAAACTATTGCATTAAAACTAATGCTTTTAATTATTTTATTGTATTAATAATTATTTATTTTATTTGCGAATACTTATTTTTTGCATAGAAGACAAAGTTCTGAAATCTGAGCGATCCTTTATATCTTGTTAAAGGTCAAATACAAGATGACAAAAATCAGATAGCAACTGCGAAACGAAAAGGCGAGCGCAGTCTTCTCTTGAAACTTCAGTATCTGAAGATAGAATCTTGAGATACAGTTGTTCTAAGATACAATATTCCCAGCTTTACTAAGATAACGAATTTTACTACGTGTTACAAATAGCGAAGAATTTATATGATCATTTATCTTTCAGAAATATCAGTCCACTATTAAAATACAAAGTTATTGTTTATGACACATTTAAATCTAAACATATGATGCCTAATTTTGAATTTAATTATATAATCCGAAAGGTACATTTAATTTAAATGCAAGAAGATAAAAATCAGACGGCAGCTGCTGGAATTAAAAGTCAAATGGAATTTTCTGCCCTTTCTTGAAGCCCCGCGACGGAACTTGAGATGAAGATACTCTTGCTTTTGCAAAGATAACAAGTTTCGGTGTAACAAATGGCCGGAGAATTTGTGCAATTGATTGGCGTTTGCGCGAGTATTGATTAGGCACGCTGCTGTTAACACGAAACCATTTTGCGTGGTAGCTTTGGAGTTAAATATGATTGTCCAATTCGGAATTTGGTCATTGAACAATACGAAAGGGGCGTTTCGATTTGACCTTTTAACGCAAACACACTGGCCGTGCTCAGTTTAATTGTGATTCTCAGTTAAGCGTTCGATATCGATACATTGCATTTGGAGCATGATTTCGATATTTTAGATATTTATATGTTTTTTAAATAAAATTAAAGATAGGAGTTTCAATGTGATGAACTTTTTCTCCCATCCTTTTTAACGGCGCAATCTAAATTCGGGACTCGTAAAGCGTTGAATTGTCGCTTAATAATTTAAAGGATTAGTATTCTCAAACTCGAATATTCCGTGTGAATAATTCATCACAGGGATGTTAACGTGTGAAATTTAATTCGTCGGTTAAAGAGTTGAATGCGAGAGATCACAAGGATCAAATGATGACAACGAGATCAAATTGCTCGTATTTTCAAACGGCTATCTCGAGAGACGACCGACTCCGATCCGTAAAATAAATTACGCGTTCGAATAACAATGTAACGGGATAACGAAAAAAAAGCTTGCGAATTTCATTGCTGGACGCGGAAAATGCGTTTGGATTTAAACGCAAGGATCGAATGGCGGTCGCGAAATCAGACCATCCGTATTTTCGTGCGGCCGTCTCGAGAGGCGGAATGGTCACGAATGAAACAACACTCGCATCTGAATAACAGTGTAATAGGATAACGTGTAAGCTCGTACTGTCATTGATCTATCCTGATGCGGGCGTCAATCGCCTCTTTGCACGGAATCGCATTACGACACACATTCATTTGAAATTCATTTGCATGAACTTTACACTTCATTGAAATCCATCGAGAGTCGGATTTAAATTACGCCGTTAAAAAAGTTATTGCGTTGAAATTAATTTCATATATTAATAATTATCCTTTTAATTTCTTGCTCATTATTTTTTATTCATTTTTACCCTCACGATTCTAGAAGCCAAAAATTATTTTACCAGAAATAAGAAATAAAAATGAAATAAATAACTAAACTGAAAGCGTTATAAAATTGTGGAAAACCCGTGGATGGAGCGTCCACCTTCGCTCGAATTTCGGGTACTCACGTTTAGGAATAAATTCGCAGCGGTGAGGGAAGGGGAGGAGAAGGGATGGCCATCACAACAACACACAGTAATCCGATACTTCATCTAATTGAATCGATAGAACGAGACAGTCACGGTGTATATTTGGCGGATCGCGATTCCAGCTCTGCCTCTGTTTATCTACCTCATGCCATCTTGGAGCGCGTGGCTGCGCGTTATTAATTGCTTTCTATTTAAAGACAATGAAGCGCGCACGATTGCGATCTTCTCTTTCTCTCCCGTGGCACATCGCGTCATCAATCTACGGCGTGGAATCACCCGGGTGACGCTATCTCTCAATTTTTCTCGTCTTCTCACCGTCCATTTCGCTACAGCGAAATGCTGTCGTGTCGCGTTGCTGAATTGTTCGGCAGCAACAGCACATTGTTGTGCTTGATACGTAAACAAGATTCGCATAACGCGTGACTCACTGTCAGATAATTTAATCTATATCAATCGAGCGTGTTGCCTCAAAATGGTAACATTATTTAAGTTAATTGTTTCTAGACATTACGTGACACTCAATGTGTGTGTTTCATCGCGTGATATTAATTATGATTTATCG